TTTATCATAATGATTGTACAGTTTGGTAGGTTCATTTGACAAACAATTTCCAACTAAGATAGTTCATTAAATCAATTTATACACAGTCTCTATTGATTTAAAGTTATACTAATAGAATTTTAAACCCTGTGCTTGTTGTGTGTTAGTTTACTGGTTTCCTGGTCACAGGGCAATATTCTCAGTATTCAGAGTGTGGGCTATTCACCATGCAGTTCGTGTCTAAGGCAGCTAGGGGTGAATGAATTTAATGAAATTGGCCAGCTGATGTCAACCACACTGTCCATACAGAGTAAGATTAGCAGCATAAGACAGAGTTGTATATAAATAAGTTTACCCACTAGAGCACAAAATACCTTTATGCACCATTCTAATGCTAGAAGATTTTACTCATGGAACATTGGAAATTAGTGGAAACTGATAAGGGAAGGTGGTTAAAAAACAACACAATAACACTGCCTTCTGAGTCCAGCAATGTAACTAGTGGATTACACTGTATACACTTTTATTACACGCATGTGTGTATTTGCGTTGCTCGTGATTTTTTGCCGAAATATTTTTCAATAGAAAAGTTAAGGCTACAAGAAGCACAGTACTGACTATTTTTGAATAGAGACTTATGTGCAACTGCTGCTATTACACTTGTACAAGAAAATATTGTTTTCTTATATACAGGAATTATGTTGTTTTTACGATATAGGTTCAACTTTTTACGTACTTTCCAAAAATGCAGCAAATAATTTTGTGACTCTGATGTATGAATTGGAACAAAAGAGTTCGCTCAGAACGCAGGAAATCGCATTTCTGAGGTCCTAGATTTCAAAATTTCCCTGGGGTAGGATAACCCCGGACCCCCCTACAAATGCGAGGTTTAGGCATCAGTCAGCTCAGGAACTGGATCCGCCCCTGTCTCAAAATAACCTATACATATTGGAACCCAGTCCTCACTACTTCCTCCTGTGAAGATAAGTTCGAACTATTCATCACAGATTAAAGCAAAGTGTCGATTGCTATCCTCCACAAAGAACAATAATAGTTTACCAGGCCCATGGACGACAAATAAACTCAAGATATGAATCAGAAAACTCCAAATCGCATTCCAAAGACATGGTAAAAACTCGTCCATGTATAAACACTGGAGGAATAAAATTCAAAAGGAAATTAAAGCGGCCGAATCACATTATTATACACATAAAGTTGCAAAACTGGGACAGACTAACCCCCGGAAATGGTGGAAACAAATAAAAAGTCTTATGGAACAAGACATTCAACAGGAGTGGCATTGTCAATTTTTTGGTGGCAATGGAAATGTTATGGCTAAAGTCTTAATAGTCATGACTACAGTCTTAATAGCCATAGCCTAAGATAATATATGATAGCCTAGAATTCATTCATTCATTCATTCATTCATTCATTCATACGTCTTTATTAAAAATTGAAGTTGCAACAAACGTGCAACTTTACATATATATATATATATATATATGCAGAGATCATGCGTATATTAAGTTGAATGGCGTTCTTGTAGTATATATATATATATATATATATATATATATATATATATATATATATATATATATATATATATATATATATATATATATATATATATATAGTAATTATTATTATTTATAAATTAGATTATTTACGTTATAGTTAATATTATATATCGTATATAGACTAACAAAATTTTAAAACTAAAAGTCATTAAAAACTAAGACACTGTTCAAAAATGATTCTTTAAAACGTTCTGTGTAAACTTTTGGTGACATAAATTGATGAACGCGTTCTCTTAAAGGTCGTCGACGTTCTTCAGGTAACAACTCATATATGCAATGTTGAGGATTGTGCATGACCTTATTGAACAATAATCGATCCCTCTCCTCAACCATCTTGGCCATTGAATATTTATTCTGTGTGTATCCATATCGGAATGTACGATTGGGAAACTTGTTGAATTTATCAATGTATTTCGCTGGCAAAGCGATCCCCATACTTCAATTGCATAGTAAAATAACGACAGGATCAATGAGTCGAACAATTTAGTAAGTTCATTTTGCGAATATCCGTTGAATTTACAAACTCTCAGGATGTAAATTCGACTTCCTGCCTTTGACAACAAGCTATCTACCTGCTTATCCCAACAACGTGGGTTTTCTTGAAAGGTGACACCAAGTAGTTTTAACCATTTTTTACGTCGTATTCCATTAATAGGGTGGTTGAGGTATGGCAGGTGAACGAGTACATAGTAACATTTCCCAGTTTTTTTTAAAGTTGAGTTTCATTCTATTGTTGCTTGCCCAACTCTCAATGTGAGTTACCTCGTCCAAAGTCAAGTCACCAGACGATGTGACAGGAACACTCGATGTTAAATCATCTGCAAACGTGACCAAATTGTTCGTTTGTGGATGTTTGGCTTCAATGTCATTGACCATTAACGAAAATAAGAAGGGGCCAAGAACTGTACCTTAAGGTACTCCTCTGTTGATATTGACAACATTGGTAACAGTTCCATCTACAGTAACTCTCTGTTTCCTACACAATATAAAATTAATGAGCCAATTGATAATATATGGATTAAGATTTGTCGATTTCAATTTCTGTGTTAAAATATCGTGGGGGACGCTGTCAAACGCTTTACTGAAATCGAAGGATATTACACGAATGAAGTTAGCCTTATCGTCTAACCATTTTAGCCAATGATGTTGGCACTTTATGAGAGCTGCAGTAGTGTTCGAGTTTTCCCTATAAGCATACTGGTTCTTATCAATAATAATTAATGAGGGATGACGAATCTCTTCTTGAAATATGATCCTTTCGAAGAGTCGCATAATAACATTAGTCAACGATATTGGTCTCAATTGATCGCATTCGCTAGCTTCCACATACTAAGTACACGCTGCTGCCACAAAGAAGAATTTAATACATTTGTAAGAACTGGTGCAAGATAGCAGGCAAAATCCCTCCAAACCCAATACGGAATACCATCCGGACCAGGTGATGTTTGTTTTTGTCTCATCATAAAGTTTTCAACAGTTTTGATGTTAACAGTTGGAACTCGAGTTCCTTCAGGGATTGTCAATGGATCAGGTTTCACGTACTCATTATCAGTGTTTATACCTTGGAAGTAAGCATTCATAATTTCTGGATCGATAATATTAATAATATTTTCCGACCTAGTTCCTCTCCCAGTAATTTGGTTAACGGTTTTCCACCATTTTCGAGAACCTTGTCCGTAGCCTAATTGATTTTATCGTCATGAATGGCTTTGACTTGGTTTTCTCGAATAAGTTTATTTATCTTCTGTTGAATTAGGTCAGTATCAGCGCCTCTTATAAGTTGTTCCCTATTTCGTACATTACAGAGATGCTAAACAAGCGGGGACATAAATGGTGGATCACGAGTCGACATTTTGACTTTAATCGTGTTTCATTCAACAACTCGACTCCTTCGTGAACATCGTCAGTGTTGGCATCGTAAATCCGGCTCCAGTCATATACTTTCAATTTATTCTCCATTTTTATTTTTCGGTGGTACCTCACATCACGAAAATATACAAGTTTTCTCTCAGGCGTAACACGTAGCTGCGGAGTCACAGCAACCGCAGAATGATCATAGCGTACCAAACAACTAAAAACTATAGGAGCCTTCCATAAATGAGGGATATTTGTCAAGAAAACATCCAGTATCCGAGAACCTCTAGTAGGTTTCCTCACGATTTGATCAAAGTTGTGCTGAATGCAAAAGTCGTGCATGCGTATAGTTGATTTACATCACCAGCAATAATTATTTTGGCATTAGGTTGCAATAACAGAATCTCCTCACAGTATTCAAATAAAAAAATGAGCAAATCTGATTCGTTGAAAATTGGTTCAGGTGGATGATACACTACAGAGACGCAGTATGAACTATTCATAGTGTGAATTCCGCACCAGATACATTCGAAATTGTTATCGAGGTCGACATTAATAATTTTCCAATCATTTCTACACAAGATGGCAACCCCACCTCCTGGCCGAAAATCGCGATCCTTACGAACTATGGTATAACCACTTGGACATATTAAAGTTGAGGGGATGCACTTATGAAGCCATGTTTTTGTAATAAAACAGACGTCTATATTATTATGGAGAAGTTCAGCCGTCAATGCTGGTAGAGCGTCAGGTATACATAGCCATAAAACACGCCAGAATAACAATTACTATACCTTCCACACCCGCGTACGAATTGGGGAAAACAGCAATTCACTTATCACTCGGTATCGAAATGGAACTCTTTACCTATTGAACTGAAACAATCTACTAATCTTAATCTCTTTAAATCCGAACTAAAACGTACAATTTATCTAATTAAGCTGAGTTTTTTCTAACTATGCAGTATAATTATATATAATCCACTTGTAAATATTTTATTGTTTTTAAATCAGCATAGACGTATATAGTTCACTAATACCATGTATAATTACTATAATATATATATATATATATATATATATATATATATATATATATATATATATATATATATATATATATATATTACAGGACCTCCCTGAAAAACACTTCGGTGAGTGGAGCTTCCTGAATAAATATTATTATTATTATTATTATTATTATTATTGTTTGACCAATGAACGTGTGAAGTGAAGTGAAGTGAAAAGCTTTATTTACTGAGGTTAAACACGTGACAGTAAGAAACTGATAAACTTGTGGCCCACAAAATTTAAGGTATAATTAGAACACAGTCCCTATTTAAAGTCAAAATTATTAAAACACGACCCTAACGCTGCAACCTATTTTCACATTTTTGATAATCTAAAAACTGTTTATAAATACTACGCCTAAAGCTAAAAGCAGAATGTATACTTCTATAACGTTCAAATCTAATTTGTTCCAGTCTATAATTGTTCTTACAGTGAATTAAAGGTTCTGCCTCCTTCTGTTTTACGATTTTAAATTGGGCATAGCATATTCAAATTCGAATAACGTGTATATTCCTACTATGCCTGTCTGAATTTTGCGCTGAAAGTGAATTTAGATAGCTAGGAGTATTATAAGCACTATTTACACGCTTATACGCTAACATTATTCTCTTGATCAAAGACTCCTTCGTAAAAGGAAGCCAATTTAAAGTGTTAAACATAACAATTGAAGGTGCCATCTTTTCTGCATCCAAAATAATCCGGGCTGCCCGCTTTTGAAGTTTCAATACTCTTTGAAAACATTCAGCATTGCAATTATCCCCGATTACACTCCCGTACATCATCGTAGGCTTTATAACCCTATTAAAGTACAACTCCCTTTGCTGTTTCTTGAGGTGCGGACTAATGTGTTTGAGAAGACCAAGCTGTTTCGAGAGTTTGCGACATAATCGATCAATATGTTCTTCATAATTTAATCTATTGTCAATCGTTACTCCAAGTACTTTTTGACAATTTACTTCAGTAATCTGTGTATCATCCACTTTAACTGCTATGTCCATATTCCCTTTTTCTAAGATTTTCTTTTCAAGACGCTTTCCTGATATAAGCATAAACTTTGTTTTTGCGTCGTTAATACTCATCTTATTTTGAATCGACCACTGATTTAAGGCAGCAGGATCACAATTTATATCATGGACCATGGAGGGAATATCATTCCAATGAGTACTTGCATATAAGGTTGTATCGTCTGCAAATATATCAACTGATGAATGTGATAGATGGAGTGGAATGTCGTTTACATATAGAAGAAACAGTATAGGTCCCAGTACT